TCTGGTAAATATTTTGTAATCCTCGATTTATGAGAGCCATGTGTCGCTTCTTTATCAAGCACAAATTTCTGAATAATCTTGTTGTTGCTGAAGCCAGACCTCGGCAGTCTCGGAGGGCAAGCTGGAATTCGTTTTTATGAAAAAAGCAAGGAAATCATATTGGGTCCGGAGAGGAGCCTGCAGCTGCAAACGCTTTTTGTGTACCCTTTAGCTCAACTTACAGCGCACTAACCAAATCACAGCACTTTTTTCCTTCTTAAAATAAGGCCATAAATTGTTTTTCCTTAATGAAGAAAACGCGCTAGTGCTTGTCCTGATTGCACGTGTTTGTACATTTTACGAGGGGGGCATCGTAATTTCTTGGTTAAGGGTATTCGTTCTCGTAAAGTTCAATCGAAGACCGTGCCGAGGCCTGACTGAAGCTATCGAAACTCTAGGCAAACTCGCAAAACCTACATATATGTTGAAATTAATATTTTATACAACAAATTGACTCATTAAAAAGTTCTTCAGGATCACTCGATATTTTTTTTCTGGAAATCAAAGTGGTGTTGAATAAACTTTCCATAAAAAAACAATGTCTTTTCCTTACAAGACAAATAACACAGGATCCAGCAAAGAAATGAGTCATAGACAAAACATTTTGAAAACGAAACAAATTACAAGCTTTCTGAATCCTACTACTGCCCAAGAAAATATTCAATATAGAATGTTCATATCGACAAACCAATAATATCAAAATCAAAAACCAGCTTAATGGAAGTATTCAAATAAATTTTTCCTTTATCTCTCATTGCGCTCAACATGTCATTGTTATCTTGAGTACAAAAACCCAGGAGGCAACCTCAAAAGCAATTAGTATTGGTCCTAAAAAGAAGACGAAAAGAGATGGAATTTTAGGATACCTATCGGCAAGCCATCCTCGGGACAGCCAAGAAACTGACCGATGAGTCTCCGCAGACAAGTGCTACACAATCTTCTGTTCAGGAACCATCTCTCACATCACGAGCAGCTAAGTAAGAATTACTAATATTAAGAATCCATACCATGTGGATGTTTCAGTATATATCAATATTCATTGGTCATTCAGAAAACTACATCAGTTTCGCAAATTTCTATTTGAATGATGCATATTTGTCAAGGATTATATCCATTCACTCAAGTCAATGTCATGAAGTCAATAATGACTCGCACTAATGTGTAGAAATCCTCATAATGATAAATATTCGTTATTACCGTAATTCAATACGCATACATATGGATTATAGACAGTGATGAGCAAAGATGAGAAGAAATTTTTTTTTGACTAGTACTTCCCCTTTTTTCGAAAGATATTTGAAGAATGAATGGGTTGCTGTGAATTGGTAGCATAAAATCTTTCATTCGAACGTTACACCTGAGACTGATCCTCAGGAGTAAGAACTTTGCCGGTAAGCCTATCAACGGTAGCTTTCACGACGTCCTCGTCTGACGGTTCATCCTTTGCTTGCGCGACCGGAATTTCCACTATCGATGACACTTTTCGATCATTTGCGATATGCTCTACGGAATATGAATTTCGGCTTTCAAAAATGTCCTTCTTCTTTAATTCGGATTGACTGTCACATGTAAATATTGCTTTTGGCTTGTCCTGCACCCTTTTTCCTTGTCTCTCCTGAAATGCAGATAAATATTGGAAAGATGAGGTAAAATCAATAATAGTTAAAACATCTTCTTACCCTCTTTTCTGGAATAATGATTATGAGAAGGACGGGTAGAAATAGCAGACCGTGCACCATTGAAAATGAAATCACCAAGAAAACAGTCTTGAAAAATATCTGCACAATATAGGAGTCAACGAGTGTCAGGACCAGGATGCCGAGGATTGTTGAGGAAGCGCCCTAAGCAGCAAAGTTGAAGATAAACAATGATATCCAAAAAAAAGTTCCACCACCACTTATGTTAATTTTTAAATGTTTTTTAAGCAGAGTAAATCGAATTTGAAAGGTTTCAACAAAAACTCCGTACATGTATACAACTTAAAATCAATCTTCCCTTTTCTTTTTCTAGTAACCCTCCATAAATGGAATGCTCTTGCGTTTTTTCTAAGATGACCTATTCCTAAACTCGGAAGAAAAATAACATGGGCTTTAATCCCATACCGCACAATGCGGTGTGCTGAGTTTCAAACTGCTGATGTTCTCAGCTCATGTCTAAAATGCATTGGAAATGACTTATTGTTAGACTTTGTTTATGCTACCACCTTTGATCATACTATTG